TAATAAAAATAATAAATAAAATATAATAAATATAATAAATAAAAATAATAAAAAAACTAAACCTTCCCTGAAAAATTCCCAAATAGCACAGCCCTTTTCAAAAATACCTCCTTTTTTCAGATTTTTAAAACTTTTTTTATTTTTGTGTGTGTGCATCTGTGTACATATGTGTGGGTGCCCACAGAGGCCAAAAGAGGGTGTGAGATTCCCTAGAGCTGGATTTACAGAGAGTTGTGAGCCATCTGATGTGGGTACTGGGAACTGAACTCTAGTCCTCTGGAAGAGCAGCAAGTGCTTTTAACTGTTGAATCATCTCTCCAGCCACTTCCCCCCGAAGTATTTTTGTGAAAAGGCCATTAATTAAAAGCAGAAATATAAGTTCATTTGATGTTGCATAGAACTCAAAACTATAATCAAGAATAAAAAGGAAACTGAGAAAAATTAGCTGTACATGAAGTAAAACCAACTCTAATTTTGTGTGAAATTCACACACAAAAAAATTATGCAACAACTAGAATACTTATTTTGCTGTCATTATCTAAAGAGCAAACTGGTGATTTTTTTCTTTCATTTTTGCCTTTACAATACAAATGGTTGTGAATAATAGAGAAGCGCTGTGTGAGAAGTGCTGTGTGCAAAGCTAGGACTTCTCGGTTTGCTTTATTTGTGCAGTAATGCTTGCTGGAGACTGGGGGTTCAGAGAAGAAGAGCTGTGGTGCCCACAGGGATTCACCATCTAGCCATGGAGAATGCATCTTAATTCTGCAATGAACATGCTCCAGAGGTGGCAAGAAGAGAGAAGAGAACTCAGGGTGAGCAGTGCAGGGTCAGAGTGGCCAGGAAAAGATTCCTTTGCATGAAGGCTGAGGAAGTCGAATTTTGCACCTATGAAACAGAAAGGTGCAAAGGCAGAAGAGGGTGGAGCAGCAGGACGCTGAGCTGGAATGCCGACAGTGGAAAGAACCCAGGGAGTCAGTGAGAACCACGTGGTGAAGGGTCCCACAGAGGTCTAGGCTTCATTGTGGAGACATGGGTGCAACTAAAGGTTTTTATTTTGTTTTAAGCAAGGAGCAGCATGGGAATTATTTATTTGATAATATCACTCTGGGGTGAGATGAGTAGTACTTTATGAAAGATGGTCTTGGCTGGGCATAGTGTTGCATGCCTGAAATCCTAGCACTGGAAAGGTTGAGCTGGAGGCCAGTCCTGGCTCACAGTGAGTTCCAGGCCAGTCTGGGCTACATAGTGAGACCAAATCTCAACAAACAAACAAACAAACAAAACAAAAAGGGGAAGGAAGAAAAGAAAGAGTGGTAATGGAAGGTCATGGGAAGGAGGTAACATCTGGACTGAGACTGTAATAGTGTATTAGGGCCCTTTAAAGAAGAGAATTTGGGGGTGGGAGAGATAGCTCGGTGGTTAAGAGCACTGACTGCTCTTGCAGAGGACTCAGGTTCAATTCCCTGAGCCCACATGGCGGCTAACAACCATCTTTACGTCCAGTTCCAGGGGATCCTACACCTTCTTCTGACCTCCATGGGCACTGCATGACACACACACATGCAGGCCATACACTCATAAACATTAAAAATAAAATGAATAAAAAATGTTTTTTCAAAAAATTAGAATTTCTACAGGAAATATCATGCTGGGAACAAGTATAGGTTGAAGTCCTGGCCCAGAGGAGGAGCTGTCTCCAGGAAAAGGCTTAGCACCTCACAGTTCCGATAATGTATCTACAGCTGAATCTAATATGATATTTCCTGGCTATTATTTCATCTTTTCTATAAATTGTAACACTGCTACAGATAACACAGTGAAGAGTTCAGTGTTTTGTTTGTTTTTTCCTCTTACCAACTGTAAATAAACCCGTTTCCTTTGATCAATCCTGTCTCTGGGCTTTTTGGTAAAGTGGTGAACAAAGACCCAAGGTTCTGGCTACGGGATTGAGTCCCAGCCGCTGCATATCCTTCCTCCATTCCCTTCTTTAAAAATTAAAAATTCTCTGATTCACTTTTCAATTACCTTACTCTTTATACAAGGGTATACTTTTCTCATATGACCTTTACTGGCTTTAAGTAAAATGTGAAGCAAACAAAAACAAGTAATGAAATTATAGGTCACATGAATGCCCAACTCTATTCATGGAGTGCTGAAGTTCTGATTTCCCTTCACAAATCCAGAACATTAAAAAAAAAAATCACCTCTGTCTCTTTCTCCTTCCTTCCTTCCTTCCTTCCTTTCTTCCTTTCTCCATCCTTCCCTCCTTCCTTCTTTGTTTTTTGAGGCAGGGTCTCATATAGCCCAAGCTGACTTTAAGCTCTAAACTTGCTACATTACTGAGAATGTAAACTACTTTCTTGTTTGTTTATTTTGTTTTTTGCCTTATAATGCTAAGGATTAAACCGGGGCCTCCTGCATAAAAGGCAAGTGCTCTGTCACCGAGCTTTATCTGCAGCCCATAGTCTATCTCTATGCTAAGTTTGTGGTCACATACATTAAATTGCCAAATTCTTAAATTATATATAAAAAATCCCTTCTTGAAAGGTGTTTTTTTGGTTAATATATTTTTGGGGAAGTTCTGAATACCAGTTAGTGAAGACAAACTTGCTGTGATGCTCATTCTCTGTAGAGTGGCACATTAAGCTTATGCTTAGGGTGCTTTTGAGATTATTAATATATTCTGAGTTATAAACCATAATATAATGGCTCTACTGAGGCTATTTGGGGAGTTTATCTATTCAAGAACATACCAGAACCTTTAAACATGAATGACTGACTATCAGATATACTTTAGAACTATTGGTATGGTGATAGCAAACGGGTGAGAAAATAAAGTGAAGCTGTGCTCATGCCTGGGATATGATATAATTATGATTGCTATGGGCAACAACAACATGACTGACGCTTTGCTGATCTCTGTGTCTGTCTGTAAATATTTGATACAATAATATGATTGCTGTCATTTAATGGATAATGACATCACTGATACCTTGCTAAGATCTCTATGTTTGTCTTTCTGTATATATTTGATACATATCAAATATTAATTAGCCAGTAAACTTAATCTAGAAAATGACTTACTCCCACAAGGTACCCTTAATAGACAGAAAACAAGAAGAAATCTATTCAGGTAGAAGGAGTGACTTAGAAGTGAGGAGAGGAGCAGATACATCAAGATTAAAATATAAAATATAAATGAGGCCAGTTGGCAGAGAAAGACTAAAGCCCCTTCC